TTTTTTGATTATAGTATTACGGGAGCCAAGAGTCTGGGGTGACATTTTCCTTAACTATATATGGATTCTAACCTAGAGAGTACTTCGAAAACACATTGCTAAAAAGGAAGTTGCCTCACACAAACCTTTGTCTGAGAACTTACCTGGTGTGCTTACTGACCATTTCTCTTTTGTGTTACATGGGATAAAGAATAGTCACTAAATACCTGATGTGAGCGTTTTGGTGGATCATTTTGCATTTTGGAGGAAGTAATTTCTTTTAGATTAGAATGCATGTGGAAAGTCTGGTTAATCAGTGGCACAGGTCGCCTGGCTGCTGTTAATCATGTCTTGCTTGTAATCATAATGTGTTTTGGATGTTCTCATTTCTGTTATCTCTTCAGCTCTTTGTGTGGGCATTCTGATTGCTTGATTACATCCGCCTTTTAAAGCAGCACTGATGACAAAATCATGTAGCTTAGCAGGTAAAATGAGAATTGGCAAAGACAATTGTGTGAAGTGTGATTGTTGCCTCTTGCCTTTGCATCCTGTCCAGAGAGTTGCAGCTTGGAATGCAGAAGTGCATAGAGTATTGCCCTGTCACTGTGGCTTCTTCCGGTGGAGACACAGGTCCCTGGCAGGCAGAGGCTGCCACGCACTCTCCTTACGCAGTCCAGACGTATTTCCATGTGCTTTACGTTTTTGTAGTTTTGTGTAAGATCTTTCTCCCCTCAAAGAAGGTTCTGCTAAATCTAGTTAAAAACATGGATGGAATTGTATTTTATGAACATTTGGTATGGCCAAAGAGATTCCTTACATAGAGTTCTACAGTTCTTAATATGAATGATTGTAGGTATTGGTTTCCTGTGTTATTGGCACCCTGTGGACCTCTCTGGCTTATTATGCTAGTGTTCTCATTTTATCACAACTTCTGGATAGTGAACTACTCAGTTTAGTGCTTTATGCAATTATTGATAGGGTTCAGGACATGTTATACCCAAATGTGACATCTTCGGTATTAGAAGTGGAAAGAATCGGAGACACCAGTAGAAACAGAAGTTTCTCTCTGGCCTTCTCCTACCATCTCCTGAGAAGCAATTCATAAAACTGAGGAGATTTGCTCATCTCTTCTTGAGTAGGTCAGTAGGTCTTTACATAAGAAGTGCAGGGATGGCCAGACAAGGCAGGCAGGCTTCGCTATGCTTCTCCCAGTTAGTTCTGACATCGTGCTCATAACCTGCCTGGCCATTTACACAGCTGACCATTCTTTATCAGACTTCAGCAAACCTCTGTAAACCCCCAAAGCTTTGTGCATACTGGGCTATGTACAGTTTGGTGAGAGTGTCTGTAAAGCAGATACAGGGCACTGTGTCCATTCCCCAGCACCCAGACTCGCAGATAACACCCTCCAACAGAACACCCACACTTCGTTGTTCCTTTGGCTCTCATTTCCTTGTGGAGACAGCCTTGTGTGACATATGCAGCATAGATCACAAACACCCATATGCTTTTCTTCAATCAGTTTGTCTTTTATAGTCCGTACAACAGATGTAAACCCAGGAAGAAGAGGAAAGGCAGTTTCCTCCCTCTCATCATTTTACTTACTTCAGCCAGACTGGCAGGTCACTTGCTTCCACATGGCCACCCCCAAAATGGACCAAAACTGAGTTTTCTTTTCTTCTGTCTGCTTTTGGGCAGGAGGAGAAATAGTCATCTTGAGTGTAAAGACATTGGTTTCCAGTATTTTGTCTCTGAGTAATTTCAGTTGTACTCTGTTTTTATTTCTGAGAGAAGGTCTCACTGTGTAGCCCAGGCTAACCTTGAATTTGTCTTACTCTTGCCTCAGTTTCCTAAGTTTTGGATTGACAGGTGTGTACCATCATGCCAAACTTCAATGACAGTTTTTAACCTACTCCACTATCTAATACTTCTGGGCAACTAGAAGCCCAGTTTTCCTTGTTTTATAACTTCTGGACATGAGTACTGGATTATCTCATATTGTACAGGCCAAGCTGACTTGTAATCTTCCAGGTATGTGTCTTTCTACCTAGCCCTTTCCTCATCGATTATACTTCCACTTCCTTTTCTGGGAGGCTTTAGTTTTCCTTGGGCAGTTTTGGAAGGCCGTCCAAGCTACGCTGTGTAGTTACTCTGGTTAGAAAAAGAATGGCGTCCCTTCCCCGAGAGTTCTGTGCGCATCGATGCAGATGCGTGACGCCCTGTGGCGTATGCCTCACGGCGGGCCCTGAGGGTCAGGTCACCGTCCTTCACCGTGGTGCCCAGCATGCATACTGCTTTGTGCTCAGCTTCAGGTCTTGACCCTGTGACCCCATCTTACTTTCCTAGACTGTGCTCTGGTGGCACTGAGGACCTCACTGTCCCTCTATGAGCATTTTAAAAACGAGCGGGATGTAAACACGGGAGGTGGATGTGAGGGGAAACCAGATGATTGTTTCTGCTTTGTTACTGTGTCCACACCTAGTGCCTGCAGAGGTCAGAAGAGGGCAGCAGACCTCCTGGAACCCACGTTGCAGGTGTCGCTGAGCTGCCTCTCCAGCTCCCAGGCTGACGTTTAATTAAAACCATATTTGTTCATGTCGAATCCCCACATCTTCTGGATACACCTTTTGTACATACAGAAGGCAAACATTCCTGGCTTTCTTTTTCTGAGTTACAGGTATCTATCAGTGTTCCTTGAGTTTGCTGGTGTCTGTGTGGTCATTGCATTTAGCTCAAAGATGGGCCCACAGCTGGTGTTTAATAAACGTGGTGTTTGTGTTCTGTTGCACTGTGTGAAAGACAATGAGGATACAGAGATTAATAAGGCCACTGAAAGGGGAGTTACTGTTTATTTAGTGAGAGCATGTTCCAGGTAAGCACAGTGTTATGTCAATTGTTTTCTTCACAAAATATTGGTCACATCAAGTGGTAGTCTCCACTGCTGTGCTCTTGGTGGCCCAGCTTTGCCTTACTTCTCTGTGCTCTGTTGAGCTGGAACGCAATATGCTAATTTACATTCTGATATGCTGGCTCCCATCCTTACTTTAACATTGGCTACAGAAATAATAATAATTAAAGATATAGTTATGTAATTGCACATACCTGAATGAGCTTTTCCTCTGAGAAAAATTGTGACTTTATATCACAATGTTTTAAGTGTCAACTTGTTTTTCTTCTCAGGCAGCAGAAGACGTCACTTTCATTGGGCCTGATACTCATGCTATTCAAGCCATGGGTGACAAGATAGAAAGCAAACTATTAGCCAAGAGAGCAAAGGTCAACACAATCCCTGGTTTTGATGGAGTAGTGAAGGTGAGAGACTTTCATTTAAATCTTTATGGTGTGTGTCTTCAGTCAAAGATTCTGTGAGAAATATAATTGTTTATGTATATGTGAAAAAATAGACTGGTTTAAGTCAGGTTGTTTTCAGTGCTATAAACTATGAGCAGGGAGAAGACATTGCATGTAAGGATACTGATGTGAATTGCCATCAGAGAAAGCTCATGTGGCAGTGCGCGCCCTTAATCATCCTCGGGAGGCAGAAGCAGGAGATCTCTGCGAGTTTGATGCCAGCTTGGTTTGCATAGCAAGTCCCATGTGAGCCAGGGTTGCATAGTTAGACCCTGTCTTAAGAGAGAAAGGGAGAAAGGAAGGAGGAAGGAAGAGAAAGTGCAGCCAGACCCCTGAGCGTGCCTTTCTCGGCATCCTGTATAAGCTGCAGCCAGGCTCTGAGGTGTGATAGTGTGCTCCCATGTGCTGGCACGCTGCTCTAGGAAGGAAACCCACAGAGCTATGAGCCTTGGGTAGTTTCTGAAGCTTAGGGCGAGGGGGGGTGTGAGGTGATTGACATCTAAGATCCAGCAAAAATGTTGAGTTTTCAGTCACCGAGGTACAAGGAATGTCCCCCAGCGGGCTTGGAGGCAAGTTTTATTTATTTAATATTTATTCTGTCCTAGTGTCTCATAGGAGTCCTAAGCTCTTGATCCTCCTGCTTTGTGTCTGGAAGGCTGGGATGGCAAGCATAGGCTGCCTCACCTGGTCTTGGCTGCAGACTGTTGGTTTGAGCCTCCAGGAAAAGCACACCCTGTCTTACTGCCTGGCCACAGCTTGGCAGAGTAGATTGTGCTGTCATCGTCAGCCGTCAGTGGATACACGCTGGCCTCCCTTTTCTTTGTTGGTGTAGAGGTGGGCACTAGTTAGAAGTTGTTGTGTGTTTTTGTTTGTTTGTCCTCCTGACAATGAATTTGGCCTTTTGAGAGCTTCATTTGAATCTTATTTAATCACGACAGTGCTGATGTGCCACAATTCAGATTAATACTGCCTTCCCATTGAATAGCAGTCTCCCTAGGGATCCAAGGCTTCCAGAGAGCATGTCTGATAACTCCGTCTGTACAGTAAATGCTCTCTTGTGAAGTGGATCGGCATAGGGTCTCCTAGGAAGAGGGCCTGCTCCTTGAGTAGAGGTGGGACTCTGGAAGTGTGTGGGACACCACCCTTCCCTGTCACACGGTGGTTTAGAGGTAGAAGAAGAGCTTGTGAGATACTGGTGGGAATTACGGTTGATTCTGCATCACCTATATGACAAAGCTATATGCATTCCTCTATTAATTATCAGAGAACAGCAGAAACAACAGAGAGAGGCAGGAGGCTGGGGAGAGCCCACAGCTGAGAGCCTTTGCTGCTCTTCTAGAGGACCTGAGAGAGTTTCCTAGTGCCCGGTCACTGCCTGCAACTCCAGGGGCCCAAACACCCCTCCTGACCACAACAGGCTCCTGCACACATGTGGCATGCACACAAACATGTCAGATAAGATAATTTATTTAAAGAAACAAATAAGTTCAGCCACACCCTGGAGATGCCAAACAACAGTATGTTCTCAATGTAAATACTGCTCTGGTATTCATGAGTTAGACTGCGTTTTCACATGTCTCTCTCTCACACACACACGTACATTTATATACAATAATAAGTCCTTAAAAAACAATAGTAATACTCATTTATACCACAGAGCAGACTGGAAATATATTTAAATGAGCTTTTAAATTAGGCAGTGTGGGCTTAAAAAGGACCCTTCTCTCACCCAAGGGGCAAGATAGAGAAAACAAAAGAAACAAAAGAAAACAGTACTCATGGGTCGGCTGCATGGTCAAGCGCCTGAAGCAAGCCTGGTTCCCAGAGTCCCATGTGAAGGAGAGAACCACCTCCGACAGACTGTCCTCTGAGCGTGCGTGCATCCCACCTGCAAAGTCAGTAAATAAATGAAGAAATAATTAAAGCCGTATTCCTGCTCTAGCACAAAGAGGGCTGGTATGAGGGAAATCAGTTAAAATATAAAACAAAGCTGGGCGCAGTGGCACAGGCCTGTGATCCCAGCGTTCGGGGAGGCAGAGGCAGGTGGAGCGCTGTGGTGTGGAGGCCAGCCCGGTGTGCAGTGAGTCCAGAGCAGCCAGGGCTACACAGACACACCCTGTCTCAGAAGCTACATTTAGGTCTGGCTGCTCTCCTGGAGGGTCCCTGAGAGCTTGGGTGGCGCCTGTTTCCTGTCTGTGTGTTCAGGGCTTGCAGGTAGCAGTCTCAGTAAGAGCAGACTAGAAGACAAGAGAGCTCCTCTCTGAGCTGAGCCAGCTGCTCAGGACAGGCTGGGACACCCTGGGGTTTAGCGAAGAGGGCTGGTGGGTGTGGTGGGCAGGCTTGACCAAGCCTTGACACCAAGTTAAGGACTCAGAGCTTTGTTCTGAACAAAGCAGTGGGATGTCATAGAACATTTTAAGAAAACTTTTCTTGTTTCTTTCTTTCTTTCTTTTTTTTTTTTTTTTTTTTGACTTATTTCTGGACTCTTGAGACATGATTTGGCTTTGAATTTTCCATTCTCCTGCCTCAACCCCCTGTACATACTTACAGGCATCTATCATCATACCATACAGTTTCTCATTTGTTTTGGTAACATTTAATGCCTTGACAGTTATTACATAATTAAAAACAACAACAACAACTTTAAGCAGGGCAGCTTTTGGTTTTAAACCATGAAATTATCATGGAGGATAAAGTCATAACTTTTACGGGAAAACGTCACTGTGCTTCTAAGGGTGTAAAGCATTAAGTGGAAGTCCCCACCTGCACAGCTTGTGAGGGGGTCCCGAGCTTTTAATCTATCTCCATGGATATCTTTCGGCGCCTTCATCAGCAGTTCAACCATACAGGGTAGGCTGCTGCTGGGTAGATTGTGGGAACTGACCTCTGAAAGCCCACCCAGTTCACTGTCTTCTTCCTGTATAGGATCAGAGCCATTGGGTTTCTAGAGCGCATCACAGAAGGCCCGGCCAGGAGTGGCCATGCTTCCACCCTAGCTTGTCTTCTGGGTCCCTTTCTGTTTCTAGAGCACACTAAGTTCCTTTTAAGTTTCCTTGTACGCTGGTTCTCTGTTGAACATCCTTTCTCTTTTTGTTTTCCTACTACATTGAACTTTTATATGTGTAGGTTTCAAATTTTGCTTCAGGAAGGTCCTGTTCAGATAATCTAAAACAAGTTTTCCCTATTACCCACTTCCCTGTTTCCCTGAGATGTTGATGTCAGTTCTCAGTTGACCTGCTTGTCCACTTGACTTTCTGTTTCTCTTCATGGATAGGATTCTAGAAGCGCTGAGCTGGATTGCATTCACTGTTGCCAGGAAATATTTATTGGATTAGTGTCTAACACATGGATCATAATTCTTTTAGATGGCTGTTTAGTATGCCATTTCAATCACTGTACCATTTGTATGCTAATCCTTTGTTGAAGGGCCTTTAAATTCTTTCCAGATGTTTTACTTCTCAGAACGTCACAATTGAAAATCATATAGTCTTTGTAAGTTTTTGTTCATACATGTGAGGGAAGTATCCATAGGATAACTCTTTACAGGTAAAATTTGGGGATGAAGAGAGGCAGGCTATCCAGGTTTGATAAATGCCTACAGCTATTTGCATAGAGGCTATGGTTTGTTTTGGCTGTGAAGTGCTACTTAAGCTTGTACCTCTGTTCACACTTAGTGGGCTCTCCTACCTGTGTCACACTCCGTGGGATCTCCTACCTGTG